TGCTAATTAAGCTGCAAGAAGGCCAAGGTGAGCTTATCAAATGCTGCAGAATGTGTCTAGAGAAATTTAACTCCTTGGAGGCTGTACAATTAATCAGCTTTCTCAAGTCACCTGTCTCTACTTTTTACTTACAACTGTAAGTAAAAGTAATGGCTTCTTCCTCAGACGAACTGGCATAATTTTTTTTATTATAAAAAATTGTATGTGTTGTCTGTATAGCAGTGGAGGAACTTTCCCACAATGCTGGTTATGTCCTTGAGCAACACAACTGCCCCGCCCACATGTTCAGGAAAACATAGCAGCACCCAACAATCTTAGTCCAATTCTTGAACTAAGAATTATGTGTGGGAGGAAGATGACTTAGTTGCTTTCTACCCATCATTGCCCAGACTCTGGAATTGGGAACTACGTTTTCGTAGGAGAACATTTCAGTAGCAAATATTTGTTTGTTTTTTAACTTTCAACTGCTTATTGAAATAAATGGAGTCACAGGGAAACACAGGGAACTGCCTATAGAGACCACTGGTAGATCTGGCTCACTGCGTGGTCGTGGCTCCAGAGTTTCAGGCAGGAATCTTTCCCAGTGCCAGGAACTGATTTTGTTTTCTCTGCAAAATTGCTCACAGCTTCAGAAATTGTCTGTGAAGTGGTTCCCTGGGTATTTTTGTGTCAGGTTGCAAAGCAGGTAACCCTGACCCATGTTCGGCTTCAGTGGTCGGCTGGGAACATTCCTTTCTCAACTAACTCGGTGCCAATCATGCTGTCTCTAGAACATTTTGGACATATATATATGTTTCTGCCACATGTACCTTTTAAGCTGAAATATATAGAAGTTCCTTGGTTCAAGAAGAAAGATTGTTCATAAACTGTCTTAAGCAGGAGCCGGGGAAGCTTTTGAAATCTTCCATGCACATTATAGCAGCTTGGACTGATAAATATTAACATGCATGGCCTCTAACTGTAAATGAATATTTTCCTATTTCTGTTTCTTGTTCATGGCCTATTGCTGTCAGAGATGTTCTTTTTTCTTTAGTTGCTCTATTTCCACATCTTGTCATTGCTGTTGCAGCTGTTTGGGGTTGTCTATGTAGCATATTCCTGATTGACTCTGCAAAAGTATTTCTGAAAGTCTGTGATAAGGTGATCAGCTACTACTGTGATCCTATGCATGCCTACTCAAAAGTAAATCCCATTGAGATAACTTGGGCTTATTCCCAGGTGTGTCTCACGCTCATACATTAATGGGGTTTCTTATTAGTACTTTATAGCAAAGTATACTACCAAAATGACCCACCTCTTTGTTAATACTGTAAATGATTCAATATTCAACATACGGAAATACTTCTTCTAAATGTTGGTAACAGTAAACTTATGATACGATTAGAAGAGCAGAAGAGTTTGCATGGGTGGTTTTTTAATGGGGGAAAAATTGTCTAGTTTATTCCTAAAATCATTCCATTGGAGCTTTCTGGGTACAGGGATAAATACGGCCCTACCAAAGAGAATGACAGAACAACCCTATGCATGTTTTCTCAGAAATAAGCTGGACTGTGTTCCATTAAGATTACTCCCAAGTAAATGTGCCTAGAAAGACAACAACAGCAACAAAATCAAGGCAGCAATTCCCAACTGAACACAGTGGGACTTACTTCTGAACAGATATGTATAGTCTTGCACTGTAAGAAATCTATGTAAGATCTTACACCAGACACAGTGTTAGAGAGTTGTATGTCACTCTCTTTAGGATTTGTAGAATGTTATTCTTACCTTCAAGGCTGCCAGAGTATTTCTCAGGACGATTTAGAGAGTCGAAGTGTGGTTGTATCTCAGCACCCATGGACAGAATAGCTGAGAGCTGACAATGTGGCCAAGTGGAAACTGAACAGATTAACCTAAGTGTGACAGGTGAAAGGTCTCTTGTACGCAAACACCTAAAGGCTGCCTGATCCCATTCTTTTCAGGTAATAAAACCAGCTGCATACCCTTTAACAAAGATGAAAATAGGGACATTTCTCACCCTTCCCCCAACTGACCCTCCTCCACCCCACCCCCCATTTTGTCCCTTCTCCTCGCAGAGCATTTTCTATCAGGGCAAGTGCCGCCTCCACCACTACACCAACGGGACCCAGCACCCCCCCTCTCCACCGCCCTGAGAAAACCCACCATCACTTGGGACAAGGGTCCCAACATCCTCCCTGAGCTCGGCACTGGCAGTGGAAATAGGAACATTACAGGATCAAATCAGCAGCCAGTTTGGCTTTCATAATTCCAGGACTGCATACACTTGGAGGGTATGCAGCTGCTGGTTTCCATTTCGGGGCAACAAGCTACAAATGCAGTCCCAGAATAGTTTTCAGCTATTTTGAAGTATAGCCCATCTAATAGTTCAAAGCGCTGTAGCCAATGGTATGGCATTAACTCAACTATTAGAGGGCAGTTTGGTGTCGGAGGAGGAATTTCTAATTGATAGATTGCTATTTAGAACTTCTAGGTTAGATTTGGGGTCATTAAGTGTGTACACATTTTTATTTTAAAACCAACTTTTGGTAATCTCAGTAGGAAAGGGATTCCAGGGAAGAGGAACGACCATTTTTACTTGGCACTTGAGCAACATTATCAAGCAGCTAGTTTTGCTTGGCTTTAGAAGTTATGATGAAATCTATGGTACATAGATAGTCAAGTTTAAGGCACGATAGGTAGGTCAAAAGGATCCTGGAAGCTTGAAAAAATAGAGCCAGGCATACTTCAGAAGCAGTAACAACATGGTCTCTGTTAAACATTGCCTCTGGCATTACTCACTTACGTTGGTTAAAATATATGCATATGCTGTTAGTTTCTCTCTCTCCCCCCCCCCCCAGTTAGGCAGTGAACAGAAAGAGCTGTTAGGGCTGCCTAAATGTGGATGTGCTCCCTAATACCATAATACTTGATGTAGGAGCCTTTATTTTAAGATCACTTTGAGTTTTGTTGTAATTTCTTTCTGTTTACTCTTTTGGGGAGATCATAATTATATAAACCTCAAGTACAGTCATCTTCAGTCATCTTTACACTTAAAAATTCTAGGGTTGTATTTCATAGTTCTACAATGAAATAAATGGACTTTGGTTATTCATGACCATTGATTGCAATTGCCCTGACTTCAGGATGATTAACATTACAAGCCCTGGTGTCATAATCTTCTTCTTAGGGCAGATACCCTTTTCTCCTTCATGGTGTTTTTAAACATTATTTTGTGCTCACGTTATCAATCATCTTCTATAGTTAGAAGGGAAATCAAAACCAGAAGAACACTTTGAATAACAAGACAACATGGGTAATAAAATGGAAATCTCCTTAAAAGAATCCAGAGGAGCATGGAAAATGTAAAAGTTAAAGCTGCTAGATGGTTCTGTGAAAAACACACAAACAAAAACAACCCAGTACTTTATTTGATGAAAAATGGCTACAATTTATATTTGAAAAATACTCTGGTTTTTGTTTGAGTAAGTTTGTAAGCCTACTTTATCAGTCCAGAGCTCTGGATACTTGCAGTGTCATCGAAAAACATTTACTCAAAATCAAGTCCAATTGAGTTCACTGAAACTAAGGGGTTATAGGATTGATCACACATACCGGTACTTAGAAGAACAGGGATTCATCTCCTTCAAAAGGCTTTGGCCCTTCTGCCTTGTAAAACATTTTGTTACAAGCACTTTAAAAAATATTAATAGTCACACATTTCTGCAGGATCTGAAATACTGGCAACTCCCCGTTTGTGCAGGGGTTGCATTCCGGGGTCCTTGTGTGCACCCAGCAGCCATGGGTCAGCCCATTCCACCCCTGTCCCCCCCCCTTTCCACTCCTGCCTTGCCCCATTCTGAGGCTGAAAATGAGACGTGTGTTGCACATCAATTGGATGTTCAAAATGGTTGTCTCCTGTACATGGTAATTTCATGAGAAAGTAACTTACAAGGAAATATCAAATTGTTCTAAACTTCATCTCTTGTTTTGTTTTAAGAACAATGTTTATGTTTCCAAACCGTAAGCTGGATGGGAAATGGGACTTTTGACTATGTCTTTCCAAAAAGTTCATAATTAATTCTCTTATTTACTCCTTATTCTGTCATGCAGTCAGAACACAATAATGACCACACCATTATTATTAATGCATAATTATCCAGATATCATCTTTATTGGTATCATTTGTCAGTGGTTTCCTTATTACTAGCACATCTGAGGATGAAATAGATATCTTCCTTTCTTCAAGCCATGCGTTACCTAGTTGAGAAAGAAAGAGCTGGGGTGAAGGGAAGAAAAGTCTCTTTCTCCCCTCTGTGGCCAGGAGTCTGGGATTCCAACTTGTTTTCTTGCTCAGTCGTAGAAAGTGAAGTGTACATTCTGCACTTCAGGACAGGATTCTTTGCTTTCTCATTGTCTGAAGAATCATGAAAGGACCCATTTGAGACAAACCAGTTTTCACACTGAAATATTAATTCTGAGAGGCAGCATAATTCTCATTGAAACTCCAAACTTCTTATTCTTATTACCTTTAGGGCGAATTTTAAAACAACCCAGTTTACCCAGGCATTTGATGGCTCAAAGATACTGTTATTTGCAGCCTTGAAATTATTAGCCCTGAGAATATGTGATTATTTGACATGTTTAATTGTTTTTAAATGTTTTAACAGGTTCAGTTGTTTCAAACTGTTTTAATCATTTTAAAATGTTTGAAATATGTTCTTATTTTATTTGTAATTGTATTTTTAATCACTGGTGTGTCTGCTTCCCTGTACTCCTTTGGGAGGAAGGGTGGGATATACATTTAACCATAAATAAATAAATACCCCCATAGCGTTAATTCTCTAACACAGATTAAAACTCAGTGAAAGCTGCATATCCCTAACATTTCTCTGTTTTGTCCAATGAAAGCAGAATGGGTAGATCTTCACCTAGTGCACTATGATGGCTCTAATACAAAACCCTAAGATATTTGCTTCTTTATTTTTCTGTGTGTGGTTCAGATTGATATCGGAGGATGTTGGAATGGATATCCCTTCTAATGAGACTATGCTAGACTCCAGTGCTACAGAGATGAGACCTGGTAAGACAAGCTTCTAATTATATTTTTGATCCTCCTCCTTTTCCTAAACATTTTGTTAATTCAGTGAGAAGCATGTTTCTGTGCTGCCACGAGATCATTCCTGTGTTAGAAGAAAAATGTGTGAGCTTTGCTTTATTTAGCTAATTCAATGGTTCTCTTGACAAAAGATTATAATTTGCAGCACACTCTCCTGTGCTTTGGTGTCATCAGGCATGAGCTCATGTGATAATTAGCTACTCTGCACTTTCTTGCTAAATTTGTCTACAGCTTATTTGTCTACAGTTGCCCTCCAGATTAACATATAGCAGTCAAAACAATGCAGTTCAAATTGCTGCCTAAAATGTGGTGGTTAGGAAAGAAGACTTTGACATACTAGGGCCCATTCCTCAACCCATTTACTCCACACAGCACAGATGTGTAGGGTAGGTCTAGACAGCAGTAGCCCAGGATTCCAGATAAGACTTGCAGGGCTCCAGAAAATGACAGAGACGTACTAGATCAGTCCTGAAAGGCCCATCTAGCTATTTATCTATGCTAATCACAACACAACGTCTTTGCTGTAGTACCATCTCCTCTATCCCCCCCCCTTTCGTCCTTTGATATAAATTTAAAGTCTTGGATGTGTGAATGTAATTTCTTTAGGTACATTTTTATTATATGGTAATATTTTTTTCAAAATTTTGATAGAAATATTATAGTTCCATATGGTTGGCTGAGACAGATTTATTTAAATGTTATTCAACATAATAGTTTTTATCTAAAACAGAGATTATTTTATCTTCACACTTATTCAGAACCTCCCAATTCTCTAGATATCAATGGTTCCAGCTCCAGAAGGATAAAACTCACAGCTCCGAATATCAATCTCTCTTTGGACCAAAGTGAAGGATCTGTCCTTTCTGATGATAACCTAGACACTCCGGATGAAATTGACATCAATGTAGATGACCTGGACACACCAGATGAAGCAGATTCTTTTGAATATGCTGGGCATGGAAATGAATTAAACTGGGAAGGTAAAGTAGCATGCAAAGTGATGAAATGTGCATTTTCTATATTATTTTTAGGAAGGCTTAGCAGTGGGAAAGTGATTCTCACTCTAGGGCTTCAGCTGTCAACTCAGCTGTGTGTTCAGAAACGAAGACAGATTCTGAGTATCATGTATAAAGCTGTAGCAGAATGCACTGCTTTCACTATAGTAATGATTTCAAGTCAGATATTAAGATTGCAGTGTTCCATCAGTCATTCAATTACATTAATTGATTTTGAAAGACTAAAAATGAGCCTCTTGTTAAATGGGCAGCAGACTTCTTAGCTAAAAATATTCTTTTTAATTTTAGCATTTTAAAAATGGCAGGCGGCAACTACTATCTTTAGAAGGGGCACTCCTAGCTTATCACATAGAAAGAAATGTATCTTCTAAGATGATCTAGTTATAGCACACATGCCATAAAGAAAGTAAGATTTATTTGCTTTTGATATATTGTTTTTACTCATGAGCAAATGTAGTCTGTTATCCTACACACATTTAAATGGGAGTAAGCCTCAATGAAAACAGTGGACTTTACTTCTGAGTAGACATGTATAGGATTGCACTGTTAATTGATTAAATCAGCAGCAGAAAACCTGAGGCCTTCCAGATGTTGTTGGACTCCAACTCTCATCAACCTCAGCTAATAGCCATGGTTGATGGGTATTGTAGCCTAACAACACCTGGGGGAGGGGCGGGTACAGATTCCCCAGCCAGGGATTAAATGTCTGAAACTCACACAATTTAATGGACTAAGATTGCTTTACTGTCGGCAGCGCTAGTTACTATGATTTGTCAAAATCAGCTTTAGGCATTAACTGTTTGAAGTTTTGCAGTAATTTCTTGGAACAGCACAAATGTTTCATCTTTTCTGCAGCTATCAGCTAATTGCATATCAGTACTAAGAACCATGGTGTTTATATGACTCAAAGGCATTTTCACAGATCAAGCAGTTTAAGCAACTTATAGTTAATAGACTCGGTGATTTGTCACTGGAGAAACTCAGGGCAGACTTTCACCAGGAAAGGCACCAGTCATTAGCTCCCATCAAACTATTCTCTGCTTCTGTCTTGATGCCCACTGCAGCTAAATGAAACTACCAATTCTTATTGAATTTTTATTTATCACATTTATATCCCACCTGTTTCTCCAAGTTGCTCAAGGTGGCATACATGGTTTTCCATCATTCCTCATTCTTGTGGAATCCCACTTTTCTGCACATAGGCTGTTTATGAGCTTTGCATTGCGAGCATAAGTTTGGGCACAAAATGCTTCTCACTTTGTAGTTTTCACGTTGTTTGTAGAGACCAAAATTGAAGCCATTCCATTTTTTTTACACATCAATGCATCCCATTACCTCAAGGATCTAGCATGGAACTCATGCAAGCGAGTGGCCTTGCAACTGGTATCTGTAACGCACTGAACTGCTCCACATACTGAACCAGGCAAAGATTCACATGACCACCCTTAACTTCAATAACAATAATGGGGCCATAGCTGACTAAATTCTATTCAGAGTAAACCCATTAAAATTAATAGATCCAAGTTACTCATATCCTTTGCTTTCTAGGGGTGGAATTCAACATACCGCTAAGTGGAGTATGTGTGCATGAAACTAGGTCTGCTTGCACAGTGGGATTTCTCCCTTCCCCTCACCCCCACCCCAAACCTGTTCTGGGGTTCCCCCACCCCTTCAGAGCAGACTTAGGGGGTGCAAGGAGGGAGGAGAGGCAGGGACAGTCCCATTGCTTGAGCAGACCTTGTTCAGTGCATGCAACAACTTAGTTGCATCCTACCCATTGGGTCTACTCTGAGTATGGCTAACTTTGGATTCAACCCAGGAATATTGACATAAGCCAGATACAAAAGTTGTGTTTATAGTACAATACCAATAGGTCTCCTCAGAGGTTGATTTTACTCTGCTTTTGTCTGCTGTGCCATAGGAATCCAGGTAGAGACAAAGGAGTGATTTTATCTCATTCTCTGTGCCATTGCTAATATCTCGCTCTTCATCCCCACCCCCACTTCTAGCAATTAGGCTCTCCCTCAATTTACATTATTCCTGCAAACAATCAGTGCTTAAATGTTTGAAGCCAAGCATCAGCTAAGTGTTCTTTTGGATTGCAGCCCACATTTTGTTTCTTCTGTATTTCTCCAGATGGGTACAATGTAGTCTGGCAGATTTATCAGTCCAGTAAATTGTTCACCATCTCTTACCTGCCTATAATACAGACAGTTGGATTTGATGTAGCTAGCAAACAAAATGGTTTTTTGCTTCCTAGAGTTTAAAAAGCTATTCGGGATGAGATATCAGCTAATATTTTTGGACTACAAAGTGCTCCTATTTTGAAACAGAAATACAGTATTACAAATCTGTTCAGAAAGAATGAATGTAATGCAAGGAGAAGCTGAACCGTGAAGCCAGGATATGGGGCATATTATCCAAAGCAGGTTACTATTTCGGAACCTGAGCCAGAAGATCCCACAAGCGCTTCTCCCCTACTCTGGCAGTAAAAATGCGGTAATAGTAAATAAATAACAGTTTGCTCCACTTTCATGGCACCCAGAATCTGCTGCCTGAGGCGGCTGTTCTTACTCTGCCTAGGAAATATAAGAGCAGATAAGAAACCTCCCTCTTAAAATGATTCTGAAGACACAACCTAACTCCCTAACTATGTGGATGGAAGAATTACTGGGCCTAGTTAATAAGAATATTGAAAGTCCCTGCTGAGTCAGGCCAAAGGTCCACCAATCTCATCATCCTGCCTATTGACAGAGGGCAAACAGATGCTTCAGAGAGGCCCACAAGCCAGGTGTGTGAAAAAGCAGCTGTGAGAAAAATTTGATGCAAAGCAGTCCAGATTTTTAATTAGTTTGTCTATTTACTGCAAAAATGCTGACTGAAAAGGTTCCCAATGCATTTTGATTAGACTGACTCTATTTCTAAGGTAGCCTTAAAAGGGACAAATGCCTATGTTAGACTTATATTTAAAGGAAGCTTATGTCCCTAATGCTTATGTGCTTTTTAGAAGCATGTTTAGTGGGACAGCAGAGCTAAAAATACCACCCATTGTCATTCTCCCTCACCCACACATACTTAATCAGCATCTTTAAGCAAATGTTGTCACCTTCCAGCCCTTGTCCAGGCCCATTTTAAAAAGAACTACTTATATGGACGCGGGTGGCGCTGTGGGTAAAACCTCAGCGCCTAGGACTTGCCGATCGCATGGTCAGTGGTTCGAATCCCCGCGGCGGGGTGCGCTCCTGTCGCTCGGTCCCAGCGCCTGCCAACCTAGCAGTTCGAAAGCACCCCCGGGTGCAAGTAGATAAATAGGGACCGCTTACTAGTGGGAAGGTAAACGGCGTTTCCGTGCGCTGCGCTGGCTCGTGACCCGGAAGTGTCTGCGGACAGCGCTGGCTCCCGGCCTCTAGAGTGAGATGAGCGCACAACCCTAGAGTCTGTCAAGACTGGCCCGTACGGGCAGGGGTACCTTTACCTTTACCTTTACTTATATGGAACTCTCTGTGCTCTGTGTATAGGAAGGCACAGATTGAGTTGAAGCACAGCTGGAAGAGGATGCACTGAGCAGCTGCTGAGGCAAATAAGAAGATGCAGTCATGATGTCGTTGGTGTGTGCCTGACAGCAGTGTCTTAACAGCATCTATTCTGCTTAGTTTGCAGCCTGCCTTCTCAACTATCAAACTCAACAGCAGCCTCCGCTTCGTGCACATTCCCTTGGCTGCCACTCGGAGGCAGCAGCTTGATGTTGCTGTCTACTGCTTGCTCAGGTCCACTGTACTTCCTAGGGATAGTTCTAAAACTGATAGATTCTCATCTCTGGGTCAGAAGGTGGCAACTCTGGAATTACCCAGCAGTGAAGGTCAAGCTGGGAGGCCCTTCATTTGTTACTGTATGGCTGGCTGTGCCTCAGGAACTAGTCTTTAGGCTTGGAACGAAGGCATCTCATACAGAATGAAGATTTGGGTACAGGAAGATAAAGCATCTCTACTTTTAATTGTTGGGTAGGAAAAACAAATTTGCCAGATTCAACTTATGACACATAGGTGGGCTGAAAATCTGTAGTTGCTGAAATTCTGTTGACTGCCCTTATACAAGCAGCCTCACCCAACTTTGCAGAGGAGATGTTGGGCAGCCTTTGGAGGCATAACATGTAGTTCCACTCTACACTAGCAAAGGTGATACAACCCTTTGATGGTACCTGTGTGTGAGGTAATAAAAATTCTACTTAAGCCAATTTGCATGTGTAGCACAATCATGTGATACAGATCTCACTGAACAGTATCACTTTACAATGCAGCTGCAGGGATTCTGTGTTTGAATCCTCATAAAAACTGTGTTCTTGAGTAATGCATTCTTTGTGAGTCTCATTCTTACCTGTTTTTCAGCATACACCCCCACCTGCAACATGAGTGCTATCATCCAGCAAGAGCTGCACTACATGATTTAGCTGCAATGTGTAGTTTGAGTTGAATTTAGGATTGAATATTTAGAAGCTAAAGACTGCTATAAACCTTGGCTATTCCCTGAACTGTATATTGGGAACACTCCATGAATTTTGAATGCTCTTCAACTGCAGCCTCTACCATATGTAGGCCCAACCTCATCTATTTTGTGGCTCATTTTCTGGGAACAGCCCAGTAAGTACGACCAGATAGCCAGATGTCCAGGCTGAATAAGGATAGCACTGTAATGTGCCATATGTCCTCCCCTCATACAAGTGAAAGAGCCAGCGGCTACTGTCAAAGGTTGGATCTACTAACATATGGCATTCACAACCACGATCCAAACACTTTATTTTAGGCTCAAAATAATTGATGTCCAACTTAGTTATTTCATGCAGTAATGCACCGCTAATCCAAACCATAGATAAACATTATGTATTTGGCTCTCTCATCTGGGATTAGTTTTCTCAGTAATTGCACAAGAAACAGTTCCATGTTGTTTTTATAAGCAAGGTAATAACTGGAAGGGAAGGAACAAAAGTCAATCTAAAACAATTGGTCCAGAAGGAGGCCATTCTAATTTCTGAAACGCCATCTGTATAAAGGAGCATACAACCTCAAATTTACCTCCAGACATTGTAATATTGTGTAATAAACAGTCTTATACAGTCCAACATAACACAGGCATTTTCAATGCAGCTGATGTTTCTTCTTGGATATTCACAAACAGCAGTGTCTGTATGGTTCAAACTCATTTGCAAGCTAAACCCATCACCCCTGTATTAAGTCATACTAAAACAGGAGTGTAGGTTTGATCATTAATCTTTTAAAATTATAGGGCCATTCTGATCTTAATTTTTTTAAAAAAGAGTTGAGAATAGTGTAATTAAGTTCATGGCAGGATGCCATGGTCTCATAAGTGAAAACATATTTGATGATGTTTCTCCAGATGTCAGTAATAACCTGCCACTTTATTCTCTCTTTCACCTGCCTCTGCATTCCTCAGAAGAGCAGCCGGCCATTAAGGAAGCTTCTCAAGAGGAATCTGAAGCAATCCCAGAATATACTGCTGAGGAAGAGCGAGAAGACAACCGGTTATGGAGAACAGTTGTCATTGGAGAACAGGAGCAGAGGATCGATATGAAAGCCATTGAGCCTTATAAAAGGGTCATTTCTCATGGAGGTAGGATCGTTCTAGTAGCATGGAACAAAAAAGCCATTCACCCACCCCAAATAGAAAACAATACTCCTTTTATTAATATTCTTATCTCATAAGATCCAAATTTAGATTAAGTTTTCATTAAGGAAAGAAACAGGCCTTGGTTCTACATGCCCAGTGAAATCCTTGTCGATTGAGAGATCTATTCTGAAACTGTAGCAGCAATCTGTTTACCATTAATTTCTTTTATTCTATGTTTAAAACACTTCATTTTCCAGGACTAGGTTACATAGTTACAAAGGAAAGGTTTAAGGAAGGAAAAAACTAGTTCATAGTACATTTATAGACTTAAATTTTGCAGGAACAATTGACTCACTTGTGTTGGTGTTCAAGTTATTTCTGCCTGCCAGTGAAAGTTGTGACCTTTACTCAAAGAACATGGCTACCTTTTAGATTTTTGGTTGTATGCCTTGTGTCCTAAGTGAATCAACTCATTCCAGAGCAGTTTCTCTGACTTCATGTTGTAAGTGGATTGAGGATGACAGTCATCCTGTCCTCAATAGGTCACAACATGGACAGGCTGAGGTACGCTTTTCAAAGAGCAAAGGAAGTAGAATGGAATTGGCTCCTGTGCCCCCCTCCTCTTCCAAACATGAATCTGTTATGCTTTACAGGAGACAGTGAGGAGAATAGACAGAAGGACTAAGGCAGGAGAGTCAGTGTTCATCAAGCCTCAGCCCTGGAGACACTTTCCAGTCTTAGCTAGACTTCAGTCCTAGAACAAGTTGAGCTAATAACAGTATTATCGGCCATGTGCAGAGCATGACTGAGTAGCCATAAGCAGTTCCACATGCCTGTTTATTATTGGGAAGGTCTTCAAGGCAAGCCAGAGAACCCGACAACTCTGATTTTAGCACCCAACTAATGATGCAGGTGGCGCTGTGGTCTAAACCACAGAGCCTAGGGCTTACTGATCAGCGGTTTGAATCCCCACAATGGGGTGAGCTCCCGTTGTTCGGTCCCAGCTCCTGCCCACCTAGCAGTTCGAAAGCATGTCAAAGTGCAAGTAGATAAATAGGTACCACTCCAGTGGAAAGGTAAATGGCGTTTCCGTGCGATGCTCTGGTTCGCCAGATGCGGCTTAGTCATGCTGGCCACATGACCCGGAAGCTGTATGCCAGCTCCCTCAGCCAGTAAATCAAGATGAGCGCCGCAACCCCAGAGTCGTTCACGACTGGACCTAACGGTCAGGGGTCCCTTTACACCATAACAGACTGCATGAAATAAAATAAAAAATTCCATTAGAGATTTTGAATTGCTTCCTGTTCTGTGTGACTAAAAATGTAATGCCGCACATAAACTTTTGGCTTTGCATGGGATTACAAAGTAGAACTATTAAAAGTGGGCTTGTGTAATTGTAGTGGCACATCTGGCAAAGTATGGCAGGCTCAGAGCCAATTAGAAGTAAGGACCCATGACAGCAGTTGCTTTGTGAGACCATGAAGATTTTCTCATTTCTATTAGCAGGAAACCTCTTATACTTTACAAGAACCAGAAGTTGTTGGTTTTTTAGAAAATAAAATCAATATTATTTTTTTAGTATAATCGTTCATTCACATTATTGTCTATTTTAATATGATATTTATTTGTACTTTCTTTTTATGAAATTCTTTATGCCTCAATGGATAATGAATTTAGAATATTTCATAGAATCATAGAATCATAGAGTTGGAAGAGACCACAAGGGCCATCGAGTCCAACCCCCTGCCAAGCAGGAAACACCATCAGAGCACTCCTGACATATGGTTGTCAAGCCTCTGCTTAAAGACCTCCAAAGAAGGAGACTCCACCACACTCCTTGGCAGCAAATTCCACTGTCGAACAGCTCTTACTGTCAGGAAGTTCTTTCTAATGTTTAGGTGGAATCTTCTTTCTTGTAGTTTGGATCCATTGCTCCGTGTCCGCTTCTCTGGAGCAGCAGAAAACAACCTTTCTCCCTCCTCTATGTGACATCCTTTTATATATTTGAACATGGCTATCATATCACCCCTTAACCTCCTCTTCTCCAGGCTAAACATGCCCAGCTCCCTTAGCCGTTCCTCATAAGGCATCATTTCCAGGCCTTTGACCATTTTGGTTGCCCTCCTCTGGACACGTTCCAGTTTGTCAGTGTCCTTCTTGAACTGTGGTGCCCAGAACTGGACACAGTACTCCAGGTGAGGTCTGACCAGAGCAGAATACAGTGGCACTATTACTTCCCTTGATCTAGATGCTATACTCCTATTGATGAGGCCCAGAATTGCATTGGCTTTTTTAGCTGCCACGTCACACTGTTGGCTCATGTCAAGTTTGTGGTCAACCAAGACTCCTAGATCCTTTTCACATGTACTGCTCTCAAGCCAGGTGTCCCCCATCTTGTATTTGTGCCTCTCATTTTTTTTGCCCAAGTGCAATACTTTACATTTCTCCCTGTTAAAGTTCATCTTGTTTGTTTTGGCCCAGTTCTCTAATCTGTCAAGGTCGTTTTGAAGTGTGATCCTGTCCTCTGGGGTGTTAGCCACCCCTCCCAGTTTGGTGTCATCTGCAAATTTGATCAGGATGCCCTTGAGTCCATCATCCAAGTCGTTGATAAAGATGTTGAATAAGACCGGGCCCAAGGCAGAACCCTGTGGCACCCCACTAGTCACTCTTCTCTAGGATGAAGAGGAACCATTGATGAGCACCCTTTGGGTTCGGTCAGTCAGCCAGTTACAAATCCACTGAGTGGTAGCATAGTCAAGACCGCATTTTACCAGCTTCTTTACAAGAATATCATGGGGCACTATTTGCTCCTTAATACTATTTTCTGGACTGGTGAGTTTTATAAAGTTGTAGAGAGGTTGCATTATTCCATCCCCTTCTGAGAAGGCTTATTGTGGCAAAGCTGGAAAGCCTCTGCTATAAAAGAATTATTGACTTGTGGTAAGAGGAGAGGTTTTTTTAATTGATGGTAGCAGTGTGGCCGAGTCCCCCACTTTGCAGTGCTTTAAAAAAGAAAAAAGGTATTCCATACCCTTGAGTACCCCCAGAAAAGAAGCACTGCCCAATCTGGGGTTGTTTTTGTTTTGTTTTGGAGTGGGGAGGTAGTGGAATGCAAAGGCATTCTTCAGCACCACTGTAATTTGTTGCAGATGCCTGTGATCTGTCTGCCATTTGAAATATCCATAGCACTCCTACACTAATCTCCCACAATGGGTCAGTATGGAAATTTTCAAGGCAGGCTGCTCACAACTGTTCAATATGGACACTAGATAAGCTCTGATGGGGGGCCACTAGGGGGCGCATCGGAAGATGGCTGACAATAACATCTCTCCGACCCACATGAGGTAATTTGGAGGTTACGATGGGGGTAATTAGCCTCCTTACCCCCCCCCCCCAGGATGGTGGGGGGGGGACTGCCCTTGCCTGCTGTGCCCTACACCACCCCCGAATTTGAAAGATCAGACTTTTTGCAATAAGGAAAGGGATGCATTGTGGAACAACACTTACTTTGACACAATGCCATCTAACCTTCCCATTAGCAAATCAGAATGAAAGTTCATTAAATAACCTATATTGTTTAATTTCCCTTCAAACAAATCAGGAATGAAGAAGAGGTCTGGAAGCATCCTTTGTGACTTTTCTTGCCCTGTGCTAAGAATAGAGCTGTGACCTTTTGGGTATATAAGACCTGCTCTCATGCACTTTCTGCTCCCAGAAAATACAGAGTGTATGCATGTACATAGATATTCAGCAGCTGTGAGGCCGGCCAGGTTGCTTTCTCGAGATTGTGCAGTTAAGCATACTTTATGGGAAACAAATGCATTTTTTTTTCTTCCACAGGATACTATGGGGATGGTCTAAATGCCATCATTGTGTTTGCTGCATGTTTTCTGCCAGACAGCAGTCGAACTGATTACAACTATGTCATGGAAAACCTTTTCCTGTGAGTGATGAGGCATGAACAATGTGGTCATCATGTCTTTGAAGTTAATGCCTGCAACTGTGTTGTGATAGATAACAATCTTATTTGAGAGATAAGCTGAAGGTTTAAAAGTGACCTAAATGCATCAGAAATGTGTGTACCTTTGTCATTTAATGCTTCCCTGTGAAAGACGTTTGGTTTGTGCACATAAAGCAAAAAGGAAAAGGGAAAAAAGAATTAGAGCCCATAGATCTGTATGCCTCCTTCCTGCTATTCTCCAGGGTTTGTAATATGTCTATGCTGTTTTGAGTTAGAATCAGGGACGCGGACTTATAAAAAATATTGGGGGGGCCCGGGAAAGCTCATGAATAATAAATAAGCTCATGAATATGCAAATAAAGTGGCTCCGGCCCTAAATAGGGCAAGCCACGCCCCCCAGCCAGCCGATTGGCTGGCTGGGAGGTGTGGCCAGTCGGGATTCCCCTGTTCTCGCGGGGGCTGAAACCGCCAGGAGGAAGGAAATTCCCCCCGGCAGTGCCTTGGCAGTGGCGGTGGTGCTGCGAAGCAGCGAGGCAGGAGCCCCCGCCCCCGGCGCCCGAGATTATTGGGGGGGCTGAGCCCCCCCAAAAATTTTTTTGAGGGGGCTCGAGCCCCCTCAAGCCCCATGGAGTCGGCGCCTATGGTTAGAATCACCCAGAGATGACAGACCAAGACCTATAATAATAACTCTTTTTCTCTTGCTTCACTACTGGTGATGGAATTTGTCCTAACTGAATGTTTGAGGGACTATTCATACATGACAGCTCATACACAAAGCCAGTGAATGCCATCTTCCAGCCTTTGACCCTGGTACTTAATCCCATATATTGAGATGGAGGCTGCTTCTCGTGACTTTCTCCTATTCCACTTGGATAGTAGAGGAAAGGAGGAATGAGGAGAATCATATCAGAAGAGATATGCTAGCTAAATTGGAAATGGGGCTTATGAGGTTGCCCCCCCCCATGCACCTCAGTCCCACTCACTAAAATTCCTTCCTGCATCAAACTTAGCATAAGTGGAGGAGCTATGGCAAAGTGACTTCTATGTCATCTACTCTTAAGTATGAATTCAGCCATTCTCTGGTTCAAATAAGGAATGGCTTCCTTGATCTCCATTTAACCTGGAGTCTCAAATGTTGACCATATTGTGGATTAAGCATGAGGCAAGTCTTCTGGTTGAATTTCCAGACTAAAGCCCTGCCACTCATTGTGTCCTGGGGTTTCTACACTTATTTTCTGACTTTTCTTGCAATGGAAGCAGGTGTAGACATTTCCCTGCTCTTTGTTTGAGCTCCCACTGTTCTAAAAAATAAAATTAGTATGGCCCTCTTGGTTAAATATCCCACACACCTAGAGGGTATCTGTGCCAATTTTGACATGTGCCACATGTGTAGTTATTTAGCATATAAATGTAGCACATGTGGGGTTGGATTGGTACATATGATACTGCAGAAGCGGATTTAGGGTAGCATGACCAGTTCACCCACACTGGACACTGACCTGAATGTGGGCTGCAGGGGGCGCTGCAACAATGATTTAGAATGGAAGGTGGGGGGGGGGCGCTGCTGAAATATGAAAGCCCAAGGGCAGATCTACACTTGTCGTTTATTACATTAAAAATGTGTTATTAAAATGTGACAGCAGATGAAGCCACCGGCAATGGGAAACTGCTGTTAAACACTGTAGAACGTTAGTTTAAAAAATGTTTAGAAGACAAATGTAGATCCAGCCCAAGTCTGCCACTGACTACAGGAGCCCTATTAGTTAATAGTGAAATTTATGAAAACTTTAGCAATTGCTTATATCACAAGATTGTACTCTTTTGAAGAGCAAAGAATAGGTTTTGAACAAATTATTCATTGTCTCCCTCTCCTCACTCATTTTCTCTCTCTGTTTCCATTCAGATATGTAATAAGTACCTTGGAGCTCATGGTTGCTGAAGACTATATGATTGTTTACTTGAATGGAGCCACACCCAGGAGAAAGATGCCAGGACTGGGATGGATGAAAAGATGTTACCAGATGATTGACAGGCGGTCTGTAGCTCATGGCTTGCTTTCTATCTATTGTGTCTGGCTTGCCATACCTATTATTTGAAAGCCGTCGCCCCACTTCTCCTTCAATATACTAATATATGCAGGAGCTAGTTTCACACTTCCCACCAAACGCTAGAGAAAAAGGGCATTTGGTGTGGATGAATCCTGACTAGGGCAGAAGATGCACATGACCAAGATTTTTCTTGGGCAATATATATTGCTTTGAAGGCTTAAATGTGTTTCTTTTCAAACACAGGTTAAGGAAGAACTTGAAATCCTTCATCATTGTTCACCCCTCTTGGTTTATCAGAACAATTTTAGCAGTGACACGGCCTTTTATAAGGTAATAGTTCCAAACTCTTACAAGTGCTGAGATGGGGCCTGGTCAGAGGACCTTCTAAAGCTGTTTTTGTTAACAGAAGAGAAATGGGCAAGAAAAATGTTATGAGGAAAGCCATCAAATGGTTTATTCAAAATAACTCCAAGAGAAACTGTTACTGTGTGAAAGCTGATGGTATGCTGGTAAAAAGTGTGAGCTGTGAGCCAAGGAATCCTTATCCTAATATTATCTCAGCAATGAGATTAGTAGTTGATTTAAGACAGGGTGTTCAGTTTGGACTGAGAGGTCATTTCCTCCAAAACTAAGGCCAGCTGGAGACATCAGCTGATGGGGTTCTGTTCTGCATTAGGTGCATCCAGCAGTCACTCACAGGAAACTGGTGCACAGCCAAAGCATCACAATTTAATCTCCCACTCAACAACTGATGAACATGGGGTTAAATCCTGCAGTGTGTTCCCTGTGGGGAATGTGCTGGCATAGCAGAACCCTCCCTCCACCCTTGTGGGTCAACTTTTACAAGTGGGTGGTCCTAGGCTAAAAAGGCTCCCCACTGCTCAGGTGAATCATTACCATTTAACCTCATCCTTCCCCTTTTACAAAATGAGGGTAGCCATGTCAACCCACATTGCAATGCTCATGTGTGGGCTTCTAATCTCCATGATGCTCCTGTAAAAACACTAAGTATATATTGAAGATACAGTGAAGGAGTGTTCATATGTGAAACTTAAAAGTGATTGATTCAGCTTTTTGTTATTGAACATGGAAAACTATCATGGCACTCGGTATCTTGCATATTTGTGAATGTATCTTATTTATTTATTTATTTATTTAATTAATGCTACTTTTGTGTTTTCAGCTCAAAATTCAGCAGTAAGATAAAATATGTGAGCACTTTGGCAGAGCTCAGTGAACTAATTCCAATGGAATATGTAAATATCCCTGAAAGTATTGTCAAGTAAGTGAAAAACAATAAGAGAATAATAATTAGAAATGTTACCTTTATGAAACTAAATAATTGCTATTTTAGGGAGCAATCTTATGCTCCCAGGAAGGTAGGCTGAGGGGCTACTGTATCCAGTCGCCCCTCTGAGGGTGGAGAAGGAGGTGGATCCACAGAGACGTCTTTGTTACAGCAGTAGAAAGATCAACCGCCATCACTCTGGTGGAATTGGCTGGGAAAAGGTAGGTGAGGAAGACTTTGGCCAAAGACCCAAGGCACTCCCTATTGCCCTGACATACCCCCCCCAAACCCGTACAAGTGAGACAAACTACACCAGCCCTGGAGCTGCTGCCATAGTTATTTTCCCTCCCGCTGAAACCAATGGAAGGGGGATTGTTCAAAACAACAGAGGGGGAAATAAAGCTTCCCCTGTTTGTCTGCTCTTGCTGGTGCAAGACCCAAAGGGTTCAGAGTTAGTTCCTCTGCCATGGACTCTTTTTCTCTCTCTCTCCCCCTGCCTGCCGCACCTCCATGGGTACCTAGTCTGCAACACGCTCCCCATTCTGATCCACAGGTGCAGTCAGGCTCAGGGGCTCAGTCCAGATTGGCAGCTCCACAACGGCTTTTTCTCTAAAATACATGTGGTCAGTTTATGAGTGTGTTTCCCCGCAAGTGTGAACAGTGTAACATGTAGTTAGCTCTAAAGCATGAAGATATGAACAGGGTAAATGAACTTTGTTGTAGAATAAAATTGTGTGCAAATAGGGGCATCACCTCTTACATTATTTTATTAGAACTGATTTTGCACAGAAGCTAAGATACTGGGCTGTGAAGATGGAAGTCCCTGATTTAGATCTCACCTCTGCCATATAATTAATTAGGTGGCCTTAGGCAAACAACCATTTTTCACTCTGTCACTCCCACATTCTGTGTCTTAGGATTATTACTACTAGTAATAATCATGCTTTGCATTTACATAATAACATTTGTGTATATATATTGTCTCTCAACATATTTTTGATCAATGAAGCTAGGAGAGCTCATAATTAGCTTGAAATATGTGGAGACTTCAGATTTTGAATATAAGTCCTGAGAAATATGGTGGAAAATAAGGAAGTTCTGTTCTGAAAATATTATCTTGCTAATTGTTGGGAAATAATAAAGTCGAAAGGTGATGATAACCAGGGATAGCATGAATGTCACAAATTAGGGTGTTCCATTAATAGATAAATCAGATTGAAAATTTGGAAGATAGCAAATTGTTAGTCTGAGGAAATTTAAAATCATAATACTTCCAAGGTTCTTATCTCTTTGGTTTCTTTGTTTCTTTTCCTACTGTACATATTTCTCTCATTGAAAAGTCCTCTTCTTTATAAATAATAGCTATGTTGCACCATGTGGAAGACCTAGATTTGGCATGTTGCAATCAGCCTCCCTTCTCCTTTCCCTATCACCAGACAGGCAACTAAGATGTCAGGTTTTTAAACAGACGACATATATTTAAAATGTACCCATCACTGCAGATACTAAGAGTTGAAATCCCCTGATTAAGGTTTAGAACATCATAATAAAAGATGTTAGGTAAAGCCCAAGGAAACATGATCTGATGATACATGGACATGTTTACATTTCATCTAAAGATCATCATTGTAAACAATGAAAACTGGGCTCTACTGAGGTGGAATCCCATAGGCATTAAAAGGGAGGTGGAACCAAGGTAGAAAGGCATATGGACCCACTGTAATGCATTAAAATATCTACATCTGGTGCCTTATTTCTGAACAGATAAAGATTCTGGAAGTGTGGCATTTCCTCTGTTTGACAAATTCTTGGACAACCATATCAGGTGTTGAAATAGCCATAACTTCTTGTTCTTGCTCCAAAAAGCTGGAATAACATACCCATTTCTGTGTGCATAGTGGCTCTGGATGTGAACATGCAGAGCCTCCAGCCAATTGAATAAGGTCCAAATGAGCATAACTGTGTGGATGCAAGTCCACATTTTGATACCATCTGCACTCACATCGGCAGCAGGTACAAAACCCAGCTTCGGCTGCCTGAAGTTATAATTCAGAAGAGATTTTCAAAGACACTAAATCATTATTGGAATATTAATGGTATCTTGGGATTCTCTCTTTGGTTTGCAAAGCTGTTGTGGGGAAAAGAAGGCATTCCATGCCATTTCCTTCCTACAGTGGGTTATCTCCCATAACTCTACATTTAAACTAGCTGATGTATTAATAATAGGTTCCTTGTTCATTTAAATATAGAGGTGAAATACTTGGCATAAAGGTGGCAATTGCATATCATTTGACCTATGTTTTTGTCCTTCACCCACTTTTATCTTGAAAGGTATGAAGAAGACAGGTCCTTTCAGAGAAGAGTAAGGTAACACTCTTGCTCTGCTGCAGCTTGTGTTGATGTTTCTGACTGTGAGGAAGTGCGATGGGCTGACTATTACAGGCACAAAAGAACTCCCATAGCTCTGTATAATGGAACTCTGTTGATGAGTTCCATTGAGTTCGGCCTTGTTTATAACTAAAGAATGCTAAATTGGAAAAATAGGTGACTTTGCCTGCAGCTGCTATCTTAAATCTCATTAGTTACAGCACTGTTGCCGTCTTTGTACAGCAATGCATGCCACAGAAACCCATGCTCCGCTACCTTTATGTGCCCACTTCCAGAGTAACTAAATATATGAAACATGAAACTGATAGGTCAATGACACCATAGGGAACTGGAGATCTATAACATTGGGGCTGAATTTTAAAAAAGCATGTACCTTGCTTGATCTTTGCTCTGCTTTTGGCCTGCTTCTGTCTTATGCTCTGCTCGCTTCTTCTTCTCCTCCCCCTCCTCCTCCCCTGCCCTGGAAACATCTGTAACTTTTATTCATGCAGACTGGATGAAGAGCTGAGGGAAGCATCAGCAAAGTAAGACAGCATTCTGGTAATCAGTGGCATTATATCTATTTCAAGGAAACCGTGCTATTTTGTACATGCCTACTCAGTAATGTGGGACGCGGGTGGCGCTGTGGGTAAAACCTCAGTGCCTAGGACTTGCCGATCGTATGGTCGGCGGTTCGAATCCACGCAGCGGGGTGAGCTCCCGTCTTTCGGTCCCAGCTCCTGCCCACCTAGCAGTTCGAAAGCACTCCTAAGTGCAAGTAGATAAATAGGTACCGCTTTATAGTGGGAAGGTAAACGGCGTTTCCATGTGCGGCGCTGGTGCTGGCTCGCCAGAGCAGCTTCGTCACGCTGGCCACGTGACCCGGAAGTGTCTGCGGACAGCGCTGGCCCCCGGCCTCTTAAGTGAGATGGGCGCACAACCCTAGAGTCGGACAAGACAGGCCCGTACGGGCAGGGGTACCTTTACCTTTACTCAGTAATAATCCCATTGATTTCAATGGGATTTATTCCAAGGTTGGTGTGTATCATTGAACTCTATGCACTTATCACTAAGCTCATTCAAAAATCACAGCCACATTTCATATCCTAAGCCAGCTTTCTCCAACCCAATGCCCTCCAGATGCTTTGGACTACAACTTCCATCATCCCTAACCACTGGCCAGGCTGTCTGGGGCTGATAGGAGTTCTCACCCCAAACACTTGGAGAGTACCAGATTGGAGAAATACTTGATAAAAATAGGTCCCATTGATTTGAGTGAAACATACCGCTTAATCAGATTTGCTGTGCTGATAGCTTGGAAAATGTTCCTTAAATAAACTGTTATTTTTACTTGGATTCCTTGTTGACCTTTGTAAACCACACACACACACACACACACACACACACACACGTTTATACTTATTTACTTAGCTATGCAGGCTTCTAATATAATATCTGGCAAATTGCTTGAAAATAAATACTTTGTAGGAAACCAGTTGATCCTGTTCACAAACTCTAAATCAGACTGAGCCAGCTGAAGATCATTGGGAATTATCTAAAGAGTACATTCTCACTGACCTCCAGGCCCATCTTTTGTCATAGGTAGTCATCATGTGGTTAAGAGAATATAGCATAGTATTTCTTGTCACAAAGCCACAGATCATTAGATTTGATGCTGGTAACAACCCTGACAGCTCTTATGTTAGAGGAAGTGGTTTGGCTATGCTTTGGCTGTCACAACTATTGCATGAGCTTTAGAAGCCTTTGTTTCTTTGAGGGTAACTAATGATGCTGTTACAGAAGCTGTGCGGATCAAAGTCTACCTTTCAAAAGCATAAGCGGCCAGAAGATTACTTTATTACACAATTTTGAGCTCTACCGCTAAGTTCTAAAGCTTGTAGTCACTTTGAATGGTGCTTAGAACTGGAGCGAAGCCAGTCTGCAATCCTGTTTATACAATGTAATCCCAGCAACCCCAGCACCATTCATGATGATTACATATGAAGTTTCCTGCATTACATCAACAAAGCTGGCTCCATGGTGGTTGGATGTATTTACAGTGGCACACAGCCACCTCCTATATTGTTGATGGTGCTTTACCACATCTGGCCGTGGTGGCTAATATTGGTACATCAGCACCTGAGATTTATAGAGGGAAGCATAATATTTTAGTGAAAAGAAACTTTTTGGATGTAGCACAGAGCCTTTTTTATGCATGCTTATCCAGAGCTAAGCGAATAGAATTCAGCTTACTCCCGTGTGGGGGACTCCCTGGTCCTGAATGGGGTAACTGTGCCCATAAAGGACCAAGTGCACAGCCAGGGGGCCATTTTGGACTCACAGTTCTGCATGGAGGTGCAGGTTAACTCTGAATCCAGGGCAACTGTCTACCAGCTCCATCTGGTATGCTGGCTGAAGCCCTACCTGCCTGCGCCCTGTCTCGCCAGAGTGGTACATGCTCTGGTTATCACCCACTTCAACTACAGCAATGTGCTCTACATGGGGCTACCTTTGAAGGTAACTCAGAAACTACAACTAATCCAGAATGCGGCAGCTAGACTGGTGACTGGGAATGGCTGCCAGGACCATATAACACTGGTCCTGAAATATCTACATTGGCTTCTGGTATGTTTCCGAGCACAATTCAAAGTGCTGGTGCTGACCTTTAAAGCCCTAAATGATGACCAAGGGTCTGGAAACCAAGCCTTATGGGGAATGGTTGAAGGAACTGGGTATGTTTGCCCTGGAAAGGAGAAGACTAAGTGGAGCTATGATTGCCATCTTCAAATATCTCAAGGGCTGTCACGTGGAAGAGGGAACCAGCCTGTTTTCTCCTGCTCTGGGGGGTAGGACTCAAACCAATGGTTTCAAGTGACAAGAAAGGAGATTCTGACTAAACACCAGGAAGACCTTTCTGACAGTAAGAGCTGTTCAACAGTGGGACGGTCTCCCTTGGGAGGTTGTGGATTCTCCTTCACTGGAGGTTTTTAAGCAGGGGTTGGGTGGCCATCTGTCATGGATGCTTCAGTTGAGATTCCTGTATTGCAGGGAGTTGGACTAGATGACCCTTGGGATCCCTTTCAACTCTACAATTCTATGATTCTATGATAAATGGCATTGGCCCTGTATTCCTGAAGGAGTGTCTCCACCCCCATCTTTCAGCCTGGACACTGAGATCTGGCTCCGAGGGCCTTCTGGCAGTTCCCTCACTGCCAGAAGTGAATAATAATAATAATAATAATAATAATAATAATTTTATTTTTTATATTATTATTATTTATTATTTGAAGTTATAGGGAACCAGGCAGATGGCCTTCTCAGTAGTGGTGCCTGCGCTTCCATCAGATGTCAAAGAAATAAACAATTATATGACTAATAGAAGACATCTGAAGGCAGCCCTGTATTGGGAAGTTTTAAATGTTTCATTGTGTTTTATGGGAAGTTTTTAATTTTTGATGTTTTATCATGTTTTTAATATTCTGTTGGGAGCCACCCAGAGTGGCTGGGGAGGCCCGGCCAGATGGGCAGGGTATAAGCAGTGTAACAGCAACAACTTTATTAATTAGATACCACCCATCTGACTGGGTTGCCCTAGCCACTCTAGGCAGCTCCCAACGAAGTATTAAAAGCACAATAAAATATCAACCAGCCTGACTCCCTCCTTCAGCAATCTTCGTGGAGCTCTGGCCCAATGGTTGCCAGTGGTTTAATTTGAATTAATTTTATAAGGAATGATTTTAGAGTGTTGTGTTGTGCCGTACTGTTGTACTGTTTTATTATTGTTAGCCGCCCTGAGCCCGGTTTCAGCTGGGGAGGGCGGGATATAAATAAAATTTAGTAGTAGTAGTAGTCGTCGTAGTTGTTACTACTACTACTTCTTCTTCCAGGCAACTGTCTATAGGGATAAGTTGTTAATGTATTTAACCTTGCATACCCTTAAGACTTTTTAAAGTGGCTGATTCCAATGGGATAGCCATGTTAGTCTGTTTCAACAAAAAAAGCGTCTTCTGGCATCTTAAAGACAATCAGGTTTATTATGGCATAGAGTTTTGTGGGTTCAGTAGGGAGGGCAATTCTTTTTGCCTCTATAATCACTTCATGCAGCTGAGGAAGTGAACTTGGCCCACAAAACTGTATGCCTTGCCTCAATATATTTTTTATGTTTAAAATAAATGAATTACTTCCTAACTGTCTAAAAAGAGGGTTGTGTGGTTTTTTACTACTGTTCATTTCCACTTGTCTTCAGAGCAAGCTGTCTTTCAAATGAGCCAGAAATAACTTCAGTCCAGCAGGAGTAAGAATTTACAATTAATTATGGCATTATATTTCCATTTTATTTCATGATCATGCAGTGTAAGAGACACTGAAGAACTGGGTAAACTCCAGGTGGTCTGTTCCAAATCCATATACTTACATGGTGTGTCTAGCTAGCTTTTTCTAGTGCTGCTGGAAAATAACTCATTATTTTTAAAAATGCAATGGTACACTTTTAAACAATTCACGTTTTAAAATGGTGCACTATTCTGTGCTGCCCACATATGGGAAAGATCTCCAAACATCAGGTTGAAATGGTAAACAGGTTAGTCCATGAAACCGATCTGATTGACTTATAGAACACAAGTAAAATGATTTGCAGCATTCATATACTTTTAATGACGTCTTTCTAGAGTCTACCCAGTCCTCCTTCCAAGTCTTTCCATCCAGGTCTCTTCCCATTTGCCTGCATTTGTAGTTTGAATATCAAATTCTTTCTTCAAAAATGCAGATGCATTTTGCATGTTTTGAATTTCATTCTCTAGTTCAGGAAATAGCTCTCCAGAATAAACGTTTACTTCTCAAGGTAAATATCAGCAATAAGAATGCACTTGGTTGTAGTTCTTTATTCCACATTGATTAGGATGGATAGGGTAGGTAGGATAGATAAGATGTCATACTGTAAACAAACCAAAGGTCTAGGGGCCCTAGTACAAGAAAGTCATCACTAAGCACCATTGAAATCAACAGGACAGATGAATCGTAACTAATTAAGACCCATTAATCTCAATGGGACATAAGCACAACTTGCTTTAGGGTTGTAAGGTATAGATTCTTCTTGCTTCTCATTTTTGACAATGCATATAAATTTGTATTGATTGAATTGGACACTGGTTTTTGTAGGGAGGGTGTGAATGAAATTTTTCTCTGCATCTTTGTAAAGTTCAGGCAATACTGTATTGGTCTGAATATAAGGCTCACTTTTTCCCCCAAATTCCGACCATGAATTCATACCGTGAAAAGTTAAAGTGTGGCTTATATTTGCGACCTTATGGTATGCAGCCAGGAGCGCGGGGCAAACAGCGCCAGGAGTGTGGCAAAGTGGCGCCCACCCTGTGCATAGTCCCCCGCCCTCTCCCCCAAGGCCAGGAAGGGGAAAGGCTGCCGGCAATGCAACACAGCTCCCCTCCCCCAGGTATGCAGCCAGGAGCAGTGAGGAATGGAGCTGCTTATATTCAGGTATTTTTTCTTTTTCTCTCTCCCCCCCCCCCGCCCCAATTTTAAAGGTGCAGCTTGTATTCAGGTGCAGCTTATATTCGGGCCAATACAGTATTTAAAAAGAATGGGCATACCATTCTTGTTCATCACTGATTATCCTGGATGACATTACATCTAGGAGTAGTTCATAAATAAAGACTACAACTCTTTCAGACTACCAGAAGAGTAAGGCACTAGCTCTCCCCTATATATTGGTTTCTTTGTTTCTACTGGCTTGTGCCATAACCTCTCCCCACTATAAATTGGGGAGCTCATTACCTTGTCTGGGTACCTGCATACCTTCGACATAACATTCTACCATTGCTTCTCTTTTCTCTAGTGGACACTATTTCTTTTTTAAAGTCCTCCTTTACACTAGCAACATAGGGAGAAGTGAAAGGGGATAGCCAGAAACAACCAAACCACACACACACAAACCACATGTGTAAAAATAAAAAGTTGAACACCATACCCTCCAACATGTTGACTCACAAAACTGGGACACACGTCTTCCCGTCCATGCCCCACATGAGTCATGTGACTCATGCAAAATGGATGGTCAAACCATCACACAAGTGCTATAAAACAGGCAGTTACTCACTTTTATTTTCAGAAAGGTAACCTATTTAGACTGGCTGCTATCAGATTTTTCAAGCTAAAGGGTTACCCCATCTACTTTTTGGGATCCCAATATGGATACAAGAATATAATAATGATTTAGATATGATACACTCAAGTTTCTTGAGACGTATCTTGGGGCTCTCAGGTTCAATCAAGTATGAGACGATGTGTGCAGAACTAGGTATACACACGATGGAATATTGGGTGTGGGCCAGCACTATAAAATATGCATTGCCATTTCTGTTGCCAACCTTCGAGTCTGCTCTCTGACTTACTGAAGGACTTCTATAAATTCAGAGGGTTCCAACTCTTACATAGCAAAATCAGATCTATTGGTATTGACTTGGAACCCTTGTATAATTCAAGTGAGCAATATATCATAATATTCAATCAAGATTAAGGGACATTGAAAAACAAAACATTGAGTCAGCTGTAAATAAAATTTGCTCCCCTAAGTTTTATGGTTTAAATTCAACAGATAGCAGGGTCACCTATATTTCAAAATTAATAATTCCAGTCCAACGCATGGCCCAACGGAACATTTCCCCCTCATCTTTTGTCAAGGGCAGATATTTGTACATTCCCAGAAATGATAGACATTGTGGATGTTTTTTGAATGTGCCAGACACAGTAGAACATATTCTTTTCTACTGTCCATTGTACAACCAGCTATGTAAACATGTGCTATCGCCTTTTCTGGGTAGCCTAATATCATGGCACAATGAAAATATCAAATTCTATCTGTCTGACATTGACCTGGAAGGGTAGCTGAGTTTTTATGAATAGTATCCCTTATAGCGGTGAATGACACTATTTAGCGGGAAGAAACTCCAATGAAAACCCTTGTTATCACAAAATTTTACAATGCTGTTTATTTGTATATATTTTAAAATTTTATAGATGCATGTTTTGTTTACAGTGCCTAATAAAGGTTTGGTGAAGTAGTAAGTTAGTATATCTATGATCTCATCAAGTATATTTACATTGGTGTTACCATTTTAATAAATCTATCCATCACAATATTACCTGAGTAATGTTTAGGAGTACTGAAATGTTGTGCATGTTTTATTCCTGTTCAATTGCATGTTTGTTCTTTTTGAACAGTTGACTCAAAAGAGGCTCCTGGCATGATTAGGGCATTCCTGAAGAAGGTGGGGAAAGGTGGGGAGAGCATTTTAATAGAGCCCAGAAAATGGCTGGGGGGTCTGGCTTGGCCCATGGGACAAACGCTACTTGGGACTCCTATGAATGCACCCTGCCCTGTGCTCTTTAGAGGAAGATACATATGCACCAATAAATATATACCGTACTAAATGTTTTCTTCTTCTTTTATTTCCCTAAAGGATTGACATGACAGTGAAAGGAAATCCCTAACTTCCTTGGCAAAGTGCAGAAGAGAATTATCATTTGTTTGGTGTGCCTGGGCCTCAAGGATGGGGACAATTTGGGTTTCTCATTTGAGCACAATCCTCCAGGATGACCCCGTTCACCAGCCTCATTTCTTTTCATGAGGCCTGTTGGTGCAAGAATAGTTCCTGGTAGATTGCAACCTTTGTTCTCTGATCACTCAGTGCCATTCAGAGTTTTCTGAAGTAAAATAAAAATATATATGGAGGGCTGCTACTGCCAAATAGGCAGCAACGTGTAGATTCGTGCATTACCTTCAGAAGTGTTGCCTGCAATATGCATTTTACCCCAGTTCTGAATTTTGCCATCAGTGTGCCTCATCCGTGATTCTGGACGTTTGATTTATTGTTCCATTTTGGCTTCAGCGTATTAACATATCTGTGCCAAGTTACATTAGAAATGTTAATTTCTCTATAGCAATGCCCCAGTCCAGTGGCTCCGGTGCATTGGGCTCAATGGGCTCAATTAGGCATGCAGAATTCTGTGCAAGGAGAGACTCAGATTGCGACCTTCCTTGCTTTATGAGAGAACAAACACACATTGCTTCTTAGAAGAATCTGGGGAGCTCGAACTCACATGGAGCGTTACAAGTGCTTCAGAGACTTCACTGATCTTGGTTTGCCACCATTAGCTATAATTCCACTCCTTTGTTCCCCAAAAAATTCTTAGTATTTTTCTTTCTTTCACTATATCTCAATAGCAGGCACTATGCAGGACTATTCTTGATCACAACAGTGCCATGAATAACAAGGATGGAATGTTTTTTTCTTAATTTTATGTGTTGTTAAGGAAACAGGAAGTCCCCAGAGGAGGTAATGCTTGCAGAAGCAAAGGATACTCCTTGTATGAATGAGAATATGTATGGACCTCGGTGAAATCCCAGACTGAAAGGATGCAGGAAGAGAGGCAACATATGCTGAGGTCATCAGATAGTATGCTAAGATAACAGCCCCAAAGAGAAAATAAAGGTTCTCTTTTAATTTGATTGCGGTACCAGTTGTCATCACTAACAAAGTACCAAATTCAAAACTTCATGCTAACTAAAGTATTGCACAGTAACAAACACCCCTCTGTTGAGAAGCAAAACCCTAGCAATTCTAAAACACACTAGTTTATTTTCAAATGGTGGTGACAAATTAATTAATTTGCCAGACTGAAAATAGAATGCTGAGGTGTGGGTCTTATTTAATCAAAAAGTGGATGCTATTAGACATAACATGTTCATAGTAGCTTTTTGTAATAAATTTAGTCACTAGTTATTATCATCTTACTCCAGAAATATAGCTTCAAGTAGATTAAATCAATATCCTGTATTACTAATCATCATTTGTCATTAGTCATCTGTAGTCGTTATGACAGGCAGGGGTTGGTAGTGGTTGCCATTATCTCCATTCACATATAATTCACATTCACCTTGAACAATACGTTGTTTTATAGGGAAGGGACCAGTCTGCTGTCCAACATGCAAGGGGATGGGTGGCAGAAAGAGGGAAATTGGGACCTTCTGTGGTCCATCATCAAAGCCATCACTGTTGGCAAGGGAGGTTTCCCCACCATTTTAAAATCATTCCAAACCATTTTCCTCATATGAAGAGTGGCAGCAAGTGAAGAGGTTAACCAAGGGACACTAAATCTTCCTGTCTTTGGTGAGTCATGTTTTTGGAGTGTGTGTAAAGCTTTGTACCCCTTCACTTGTATCTGCAGACCATTTATTTTGTCCCATAGAATTCGGTGGGTGCCACTGAAAATTGAATCAGCCCATATCTTCATGACTTTCAACCTTTATCTTTCAACTTCTGCCACTAGTGTGTGTGATGGAAATTGAACATTGGGAATCCACTTACATATATACTGGTTTCAGAGCCAAAGGTTTGCATTCTCCAGCAGAAGGAGCCTTCTGCCAATCCAATAGAAAGTGTCTTCTTCTAGTGGAGCAAGCTCCATCCATCAGAGGAAGAAAACCTTCAGATCCAACACAATAAGTTGGATTGTTTAAAAGGATTGAAATAGGTTCTGTCAACAGAAAGAAATGAAGGAAATAAGAAAGCTCTGTAGTTAAACGTCAGGGAACAAATTATATTTTTGCAGTGTTCCTTGTTTGACATCAGTTTTTACGCTGCCTGTGTCCTTAATCTAAGCTTGAAGAAGTTCCAAGAACAACACATGCCCTGTGTGGTGCCAGTCCCATAAAGTGCTGAGCACTGATTCTTATACAAGACTGGAACCCAGCTTAGCACTTGACATTTTATGTCATCCTGTAGAATGATAATTTGAAAATTGGATTGTTCTTTAGAAGAAATTCTACTTCAGATGCCATGGTTTAACAGACAGGGGTTTGAGTTACCTTCCAGATGCTGAGAGTGTTCCCAGTCTGAAATTTCAATGCCTCCCATGCCATGAGCTCGTATTCTTCACAGACATTAGGACTATGCAATGCAGTACAAGAGTGATGGTGAATATTGGTCTTTTGCCCTTGTACATGTTTGTAGTAGGAAGCAATCATTTTGAAGGGTATGTTAATGTGCAATTTTGCCATGGGGTTCCCTTATAAGATCCTTTTACTATGAAGATATTAATAGGAAAATGAACCTTGTGACAATGGTAACAGTGGAGGGTTCCCTCCACCAACACGTTTAATAGATGCAGTACTTACTCTTCTCAATCAATCACTTGCTGTGCTAATGAGCACATGGAGATTATCTGTCTGCAGAGGGACTCCCATTACATTTAGTGGAGGAAGCTGTGCTGCCCATACATTTTGTTGTGTGTTTGCAGTTGCTTCTCTCTATTGAAGTAAATGGTCACAAGAACTCAGTATGTGCACTGGTATATGGAGCTCTGGACTGGGGTAGATATCTACAGGGTGCTTGTGTGTACTGAATTTATGTTACGGGGCGTTTTGTCAACTGCACTGTGCTATCTGCCACAATACTATCTGCCCTGTTGAGCTAATGGAGCGACAGCTCTGCTTCTGTGTACTAAGCTCTTGCAATCTGAAAGTATTAATACTGTACCTTGTTTTGGGGAGATGCTGCGTGATAATTTAAATAGTGCAAGTCTATGATGTTTAAATGTGAAAATGTGTTTTCGAAAACATTTTAGTCACAATATAACACAAAGTTGTGCTCTTATTCCCCCTGATTTCACTTACGTTAATTGTGCCTAACTCCAGTGTTGGACTGTGGCCCTTGGGATTAGTCCTTTCAAGTTGGGTTGCCAAATAATAAGCCCGGCATGTTCTTATGCCTTTAAACAACTGCTTAATCTGCAGAAATCAACAAGAGATGAAGCTTTACATACATAGTGATAAACATTATCACCTGCAAATTGCTCTTAAGGGCACAGCTGCAAGTACCAGTTTAAATGCTGGCAATTTTACTTCCCAATGTTTTTGGCACTAACATTCCAGTGTTCAAAACAGCAATTATTTTTAGATGTTCCATCTTTCTTACATCTTGATCCAATGCATGTTTACTCAGAGGTAAAACCCACTGATCCTGTGAGGCTTATCCTCCCTAGTAAGGATTGCAGCCTTACAATCCAGTCCTGGGCAGAGTTACTCCACATATGACCTGGCTACTTATGCCATAGCTATGAATTACTGACATTATTTGCCCCTCGTCAATAGAAAACATGGTGACATTCTTGCAATTTGCTTGTAAGGCATTGATGGTTAAGAAGGTGTATAAGACAAATGTCTTGTTAAAAACAAATAGTCTGTCTTCTTCAACTTAAAGAACAAAGTGCTATTTGCTCATTAATACATATTTTTAGAATTTTATTCTTTCCAAAAAAGTATAAGTATGTCAGTTGCATATTATACTAATTACTACCTAGCAATGTTCAGCAAAAACTTATTTCTTTTAAAAATAAATACAAATACTGACACTCAAGTAAACTTTTTAATACATAGAATTTCCCTTCATCGTGTATCTAAGTGCTCATAATTAAGCATTACTTAGGGCCTTTCTAGGTTTTCTTTGTGTGGTTTCTTAGTTACTGTGGCAGATTCAGATGTCAAAAAGATATGTTTTGGGTTAATTGCATTGTTATGATTATTTTATTACTAAGCAAATTATATTCCCCCTCTTCAGTTCATGGACCAGCAGAAACTACATGTTTGTGCAGTTTGGACTGGGAGCACATTTATGGAACCTATTGGCTAGTGCCCTTGAGGTCACTGGTGATGAACATGACTCCCCCATTCTCTCCATACAATTTTGTGATATTTTAAATATATGGAGCATGATACAAAAAATATCAGAATACCCTGCTGGATCATATTAAAGGCCTGCCTATTTTAGCATCCTATTGTTACAGCGACTAACTGGATGCCTCTTCTGGGAAGCCGCCTGCTATCAGGACCTGAGTGTAACTACACTTTCCTGTTCTGCAGCAACCAGTTTTCAGAGGTAGCACAAACTGTTACAGCTTGTAGCCATTACAGATAGACCTATCCTCATGAATTTGTCTAAACCCCTTTTAGTACCATCCAAAGTGGTAGCCATTACTATGTCTTGTGGCAGCAAATCCCATACATTTAACTATGTGCCATATGAACAAGTACATCCTTTTGTCTGCCTTGATCTTTGTTGGATGACCCTGGGTCTTGCAAGAGAGGAAGAAAAATGTCCACTTTATCCACGCCAGGCATCATTTTATACACATTTATCATGTCCTCCCCCCTGGCCTTTTTTAAAGAAATAAAGAGCCAAATGCCCCAATCATTCCTCATAATGGGTATTGTTCCACCTCTCTGGTTATTTTTGGTTTTCCAGCTCTGCAATGTCCTTTTTGATGTGTACTAACCAGAACTGAACACAGTTGTACCAAATAGCCAAAATTAAGGAGTTCAAAGACTTTTTGATCTTAGTAAGAGTAATTTAGGCATATGCTTTAACTTGGTTAAGATAGTTGGACTTTCAAATACTTCACTTTGGCTGGATCATATCATTATGCTACATGCTTTAAAATTCTTTACTTTAAAAAAACTTTTGTAGAGGCTATTCCCCTTTTCACCTGAAGGATCTACTACCTTCCCTGCATAATGTCAGGAATGGGGTATTTCACCACCAGCCCTAGGCTGGGGCTAGTAGTACGGCTACTATTACAAATGCTAATAGGAACAATATGGATTTCTCCTGTTATCTGGAAAGGCCCTAATGCACTATTCATTTTGTTCAACTCTGCTAACAAAATTGTTTAGATTAAGCAATATAATATGTAATATCAGTATATGTACAATATGTATGTATGAATCAGAAATAAAGAGCTTACAATCCAGTAGCAAAAAAAAGTTTTACCCTAACTTCTTAAAGGGAACTCCTCTGTATGCTTCAGTGCCTGAATGCAGTGGTGGGCTGGATGAGGACCAATAAACTGAATCCCAGGAAGATGGGGGCCTGTGGGTGGAGGGCTCCCAGATCTGGGAATTGGGCATTTTGCCTCTTCTGCTTGGGCTTGCGCTCCTGAAGGAACAAGAACATAGTTTGAGAGTCCTTCTGGATCCATCATTGTCACTGGAAGTGCATGTGGTCACACTGCCAAAGAATGTTTTTCACTAGCTGTTGCTTGTACACCAGCTGTGGCTTTTCCTGGACACAGACATCCTTGCTGTGCTGGCCCCATGGGAATGAAAATTATATAGAGATTGCCCATATGGGATAATTAATAAAACAGTTGTGCTGGATACCTACATCCAGATATGTGGGACAAGCAAACTCCAGAAAGAGAGAGAGCAGAGTGTTAAAGCCACAAAAGCAAGCAGAAGTGTGGCATAGGGATTTAGACTGTTAAACATTTTAAATATCCTGTTTAAGTTGCTTACGGTGCTTCCCATTTCTATTCCTCTCACAATGAACAGACCACACTGTTAAATTGCTTTACTTACAAGCCCCAAAGATCAGATTTGTTCATCATTTTATGCAATGGCAAGAAGAACACAAGTATAACATTATTGGTTTACGAAACACAGAAAAATACTTCTGAGCACACAGTCTGGGTTTGAAGTGCGGAAGCCCAGATTGGCTGGTTGGCTTCACATAGAAGAGAATGAACAAAGGAAGCTTCACTTTCTTCTTCACCAGAGATGAGAAGGTGTGACCCAATTGAGTCTAGGAATACACTTCTGTGGTCTTAACCCGTGAATTAACTAGCCCTAAGCTTGCTAGTTATATTTGACTGCAATTTCCCACAAACTCAGACATTGGTAGCCTCAAGACTCAGTTGCTGTACTAAACTGTAAGTAGATCTGTCCTTAATATTGGTTTGGAATATTGTCCTAGAACACCTCCCATGCAGAGCTGCCTGGTCATTAACATCATCTACAGGCGCCGTCTTGGTAGCATCACACTGACCTTAATAAGACTTCTTTCTAAGTAAGTGAACATATGATTGCAGCCCAATCCAGTGTAGGATTACGTGTGCCTAAACTCACTGAAACTGCAGAGAATTTGGTTGCACGTTGCTTTGAAACAGATGTTTCCATTTCAGTAGTCACTAAGCTGCAAGAAGACTGATATGAAGTAAAATAACTGGGCCCAATTCACACTAAACACAAGTCTCTTCTGCTGAACTTTGCCGACCTAACCATGCAGGATCTGCAACCTACAGGAGTGCCAGGAATGCGTTGGGGAGGAAAGGTCAATATCAAGGTACTGGCAAGAGATCTGTGTGGGAAGAGGAAGCACAGCTGTGTGCCTGCCAGTTCTTTGCACAAGGATAATTACAGGATAATTCATGGAAACAACAGTAAAGTATTTGCTATGTCTAGCAACTAATATTTATGCCTGTCCCTCTTACTGCCTGCTGCTTCACTTTCTCTTCCCTTATCTTTAGTGCATCTGTGAGCATGGGGGGCATGTAACAGAGGTGGCATCTTAAATTCCCATTCATAATCTTGATCTTTCACTTCCCTTCTGAGTAATTTCCTTGAAATTCAGGTGGAGTGGAGGATGTGCAGCTTCAAAAGAGGATGTGGCTCCTTTAGTTGTGTAGAAAAAGGAATTTTAGCAGGTGAAGTTTCATATGCAGCAGGACAAACTGCCTGGCAAAATCTCCTCTCCCCCAACTTTTTAGACTAGGTTTGACAACACAAGAGTCTTGTCCTTTGCTGTGTGCATTAACTTTATTGAGATGTAATTTCTAATGTGCAATTTGAAGATACCCAAGATTCTTGATTAGAATGGCTATCTTGGCTGCTGCCAGAAGCAGTAATACTTCAAGAATCTTGGGTGCGTGTTACTCTGAGAGTAAACACAAACTTTGCTCTATATTGGATTGTTCCCACAAGAAAACTTTCATAATTTTTTTAAAATCCTGAATTTCTGTTTATTCTGTTTATTCTAGTTATTCAGAGAAATAATTTATGCCAAGTCAGATTTTGTTAATCTAGCTCAGCATTGCCAGAACTGATGGGCAGCCATTTTTTAAGGTGTTTGCCAGTGACATTATACTTGGCTCCTTCTGCATGCAAAACATCTGCTCCACCAGCTGCTCTCTGGTCCCTTCCCTGACATCAGCGTCCTAGGACAGGTACTCAAGTTTAGCTGTGAAGTCCACTATTATTTAGTCCACAAATTTAGAAGTATTATGCATGCCTCGTGTGTAGTTCATGCTTGTGACTACTACCCAAGACATAAGTTTGTGATCCTAAACATGCCCATGCAGAACAAAATCTTACTGAATTCAATGGGACTTGCTCTCTTATCAGCTGCTGCTGCTGCTTGAGAATGTCAAGTTTCATTTAAAGCAGGGGTGCAAAAGAGAGTTGATTTCCCCCCTTCAGTTCTGCACATACAGAGCTGCTAGAAAACACCAATTTCCTGGGGAAACTTCCTTACTTTTGTGTAAAGAGATTTTTAAGGGCTTGTTTCCTGGTATTAACTACAAACCACGAGCTTGAAAGAGAGCTGCCTGATGGTTGATGACAGTGTAGCCTGACTCTCAAGTATATCATATTGTTTGATGCTTCCCACCCCCTCAATAAATGCATTAAAATACACTGCATGCTTTATACATGCCTCTAGTAATAATAATAATAATAATAATAATAATAATAATAATAATTTATTTATTTATTTATTTATTTATACATACATACATACATACATACATACATACCCCGCCCATCTGGCTGGGTTTCCCCAGCCACTCTGGGTGGCTTCCAACTGAATATTAAAAACAGTACAGCATCAAACATTAAAAACTTCCCTAAAGAGGGCTGCCTTCAGATATCTGAAGATATCTAATATCTGGTAGATGAAATAGAAACATGTAGGATTCTCCCCCTTTAAAAGTAAAACAAAAACAACAGCCACATTAACAATAAAAAACCTCTCTCATATGTTTGATAATGTGGATTCTTCTTTTTTGGTGATCACTTGTAGCCAAGTAAGATTGTCTTCCATAAACATGGTTTCCAAAAGTGAGTCCATAAGTGACTCTGGAGGCCAATTCTGGATCCACATGTCCTTCCACAGTGGGGACTTAGGTTTCCGGGCGGGAGTTGAGGGTTTGCCAAGCGTGCCTTCCTCTTAGCGCATTTCTCCCTTTCGTCCTGAGTTTGAGTGTCTTCAAAACCCATGACACCTTTGGTCAAGGCTGTTCTCCAACTGGAGCGCTCGCAGGCCAGTGTTTCCCAGTTGTCGGTGTTTATACTACATTTTTAAAGATTTGCCTTGAGAGAGTCTTCGAACCACTTTTGTTGACCACCAACATTACACTTACCATTTTAAAGTTCAGACTAGAGTAGTTGCTTTGGAAGACGATAATCAGGCATCTTCACATCATGACCAGTCCAACAAAGTTGATGTTGAAGAACCATTTCTTCGACACTGGTGATCTTTGCTTCTTCCAGTACACTGGCATTGCGTGGCGAGTTCCCGCCCCCCACCAAGATAAATAAACACACGAGACACCATAATTAAGGTTAATTGGGCGAATTAGGCCACAACTTTATTGAATTCAGGAATGAGAGGCATTGGCTTAGGCATTGGTCCTATCGACTATCCGGCTCCAGCCCATTTGCTGGAGACACGGGGAAGGGTTAACACTAATCGGGGGAGTCTCCCGCCGAGGCACGTCGGCTAGGAGCTCCCCCGGGTCACCGCTCTGGGGCGTGCCTTTGGCCCTCACCTCCATAGGCTTTGGACAGGGCCACGCCCCCCGGAGTCCTTTAACGGACCACCCTTCGTTCATTGGGGGGAGGTGATGGCATTCCTCCCCCCCCACATCCTCTTAACCCCATCTTACCAATGCCTACCGCCACCGAGCAGCCGCTCGCCGCCAATACTCTCATGCCTGAATCCACTCCATTATCCCCTTTGCAATATCCCTAAGCCAGATATCATTACCAGCATCCGAAAGATGCACGCCATCATACCGGTAGAGGGCCTCAAGGTTGAAACGAATGCCCGGGTGGCCAATCACCATCCCACCCAGGGCTGCCACTCTACGCACTACCGCCCGATCCAAGGCTTTCCTAGCCCTATTCATAGCTATCGGGCACCTGCAATCTCTCCAAATCCGCCTCTCCATCAGTGAGGCCCAAATAATTGTGACATTCGGGTAAGCGGCCTTCAGCTCCTCGAAGTCACTAAAAATGTGCCACTGCAAGTCAACTGCCTTCCTGTAGGCTAGGTCGTTTTCCCCCAATTGTATCAATAAAGCGTCTGGGGGGCCCTCCACTGCAGCTCTGGCCTTAACTGCGGGCAGCAACTCGGCCCAGCGCATTCCCCTCCGGGAGACCCAGGAAATGGTGACGTCAGGTAGGCCCAGGTGCGGCCCGAGACCGGTAATGATGGCGCGGACCCTGGCCCAATGCACAATACTGTGCCCGATAATCCAGACGCGCACCCCCATATCACCTGTAGGAGATTGAAAAACAGACCATGGTCAGTCACCGTCACAAATTCTTCCTCAAATAGCGTTTGTACGCGTCAGATTTCCAGCGCCCTAAGTCCCTAATCCTCTCAGTCGTAAGACCCAGGTGCATTGCCGTGGTGGCTGCTCCTATCCTGAAAGAGTGTGAAGCAAAATCTGCTGCGGGGATGCCGCATGCTGCCAGTGCTAGGCGCATGACCCGAGTGAACTGGTGACGCGTCAAAGGTAAACCATCTGCATGTATCAACAGAGGCCCTGCCGAGTTGACCCTCAGGGATAAGAAGCGCCTTGTGTCTTTAACTGGACATGGGCCAGGGCTATCGGTGGCCATAAGCTGAACAAGAGCCCCCCTCCCATACTGGTCTGTTTTAGAGCTGCGTATCCGTACTACCAGGTCCTCCC